TGGCTGGTATTGGCCAGTGACATCTCCTGAAACCAAGAGTCTCGCTTAAAAGACTGTAATTTACATCAGCTTGCTGTTGCTCCGTGGGGGTTGGCTTAGAGGGCTCTCGCAGCAGCACTTCCTGAAGTTATTTGAGATTGCCCTACAAAACGGGTAGAGTAGGAAGAGGAGAGAGGCTGCAGTGCCTCATCTAACGTAGTCACTGTGCTGTGGGAGCACTGACAGGGAACCTTCACACCTGCTGGTGGTGAAGTTGAGCACATGGAGACCATGGCTGTGTTTCGCTCTTTGGAAAGAGTAGATGTGGAGGCTGACCGGGAGTGCTTTGAAAGCTGCACAGCACAACCACAGGCTTTCAAGTGCCTTTGGGAAGCCTCCACTGACATCTCCTGGTGCCATCTCATCTACTCAAGGGCATGGACTGTTGTAATGCTTGCCTTTTTGTCAAGACCTTGTCATTCAAGATCTTATAGTTAACCACACACTCAGCTGCCGTTGGGGATTTCTGAATGATACTTCTGCTGAGCAGTGAAAAAAGCATACGCATGCCTCTCTCTGGAAGAAGCGTCATCTGTCTGAGTTTAATTGAGACTTGCTCAAATAAAGAAGTAGTGGCTGCTGCACCATAAATTAACATCACACTTTGTTTGTGTTCATGCAGGGTGGCTGACAAACTACCTAGACCAAACCTCATCTTGCTCAAGCACTTGCTGTCTCTGCTCCACCACATCAGCCAAAATGCCGAGACCAACAGGATGGACTCTGGCAATCTGGCCATCTGCGTTGGCCCAAATATGCTGAGCCCAGAGACAGACAACACACTCCCGCTGGAAGTGCAGAAGGAGATGAATGACAAGGTGAGTTGAACTCACCAAGCAGCCACCCCCTTCGGGGCAGAGCCATCCGTAGGGATCCCACCACCATTGCAAAAGCTGAACAAAACAGTACCCCTGGACATCAGGGTGCCCCTCAGCTCAGGTGCCTGTAATGTGAAGGGCAAGGCTGCCCCTTGTCTCTCCTCCTCTGAGCAAAAGTGGCAGTTCCCTGCAGTCGTATCACAGCTCCTGAGTACTTTGCACACAGAGAGCAAGGGGCATCTGGTGGGCATTGCCACCCATAGGCCCTCTGGACAGCAGGGCTCAAGCTGTGGCTGATGGTGTTTTGTTTGTATCGGGGCAGATCAATTTGTCTGCGGCATCTCTGTGCAGGTGACAGTGTTGGTGAAGTTCCTCATAAACAACTGCTCAGAAATATTTGGGGAGGATGTTGACTTGTCTGTCTGAGCCTCAGCTGAGGAGTCACCGGAGCACACAGACAGCTCCACAGGCATGAGAATGGCTTGGGGATGTCACAGACTGGGGCTGCTGGGCCAAATTCTTGAATTTGATATGGGAATACATCTGTGGAAACACAGAGAGTTGCAGAGGGTTCAATATGTTATTGCATTGTTTTCCTACAGGAACACTTTCCAGAAGTTCAAAATGATAACACTCACAGAACAAAATTAAATCCTAATGTTAAACATCTGTCTCAAGCACATTCTGTTACAGATGCACTGATACCTCAAGGATCTTACTGGCAGGGCTCAAAACAGAGCATTATTCTCCTAACCTAACAGATCCAGAGGTCTCTGTTTTGTCACTGCTTCTCAGGAGGAACAGGCTATGAGAAAACAGACACGCTTTCAGCATAGCTGATATCCTATCAGTGTCCTTTTTTGTACTTGCCTTATCAAAGTTAACTCCTCCAAGAGCTGTTTATTCTTCAAGGTGAGCTGAAACTCAAAGGTCTAGACACTGGCATCACAAGTCCACAGAGTGAAATGTCCTTTCAGAAACCGTTTTCAAGAAAAGCAGCAGACATTGCAGAGAACATTGCATCAAAGCATGCACAGATGCCTGCTGCATGTTTTAAATTGGGTTTTGAGGTTTGGTTTTGGCTTCACAAAAGTAATTTTACTGTTCATTTCTTTGATAATGTTTGCCTTACTGAATTGTCAGGTTTAAAAACCACAACAAATTCCTGCAGCCTTTGCTTTCTAGAGTTGCATTCAGAATAGCAGCAACAGAGGTGCACATAGAGTCAGAAAGGTGTTTTTCTGGACAGACAACCATCTCCATTCTTCACCCCAGAAGAAAGAGGAGGAGATGTGGCCATACAAGTAGGAAAAGGAGAAGTGCAAGGCAAAGGCAGGTCCACTGTCAAAACATGCCTCCAGTATAAAACGAGTTTCCAATGCAAAACTGAGGCAAAACCAGAAAGGAACTTATCCTCACAGAAGGTATTAAAACTGTCTCCAGTGTCTGCTGTGAGGTGAAGTGCAAAATTAAGGAAGGTGCTTCTCCATGTGCACTGGTTCTGCTGCTTTCAGCTAAGGACTACAATGCTGAGAAATGCTCTCCCCTGTAGAAATAGTGTCCAGCCTGAGAAGGGGCTGAGAACCCAGAGGTGAGCAGAAACAGGGTCCAGGTGAGTGCTCTGCTTCTCCCTGGCAGCCCCCACAGTGGCTCTGGCAGGGTGTGTGGTGTCTCACTCCAGCCCACTCATCCCTTAGCCCCCAGCTGCATTCACATTCTTGCTTTGGCTGACACTGGGCCCCCACCTGCACTTCTTAGGCCTGCCTTCAGCACAAGGGCTTTGGTCATCCTCCTTTTCTCCTTGCCAAGATGCTAAGAGTGATAATGATCAAGGGACATTTACCTCTGTTTCCCTGACTCCCATCCTCAGCTGTTTGACTTTGACATTGAAGTCAAGCCGATCCTGGAAGTGTTGATTGGGAAAACGATTGAGCAAGCTTTGCTGGAAGTCATGGAGGAAGAAGAGCTGGCCCAGCTGTGGGCACATCAGCATGCCTATGCAGAGCTGCGTAATGCAGAGCTTGCTGAAGTACAACGCCTGGAAGAGCAGGACAGGCGATACAGAGAGGAGAAGGTAGGACTTCCTAAGAGCAAAACAGGCCTGTCTGAATGCTCATCAGAAGAGACAAAACCATTTCCAGTACTGAAAGACAAGCTGTGAAATAATTGGGACTCTGGCCCAGATGTAAAGGTGGGGAACCTGATTGGGGAACCTCAGTAAAAGAGGCAGGATGTGAGACAACCAGCAACTCCTGGGAGATTTTATCTGGCTCTTGCAAAGCAAGTGTCTTCCAGCAATGATGTTCATCCCTTAATGATCGTAGCAAATGAAAACCACCCCCAAGATCCTGTCATTCATAGTTAATAAAAGATACTTTTTCTTGCTTCCTTCCTACCCAATTCTTACAGACACTGAGACAGAATTCCTTGCATGGATGATGGCAGAAGTTGAAGAAACACTAGAGAGGAGGTTAATGTTGGAAAATCACTACTACATACACCTCAGTAATGGATTCTAGGCTGAAATAGCAGATGTCGTTTTAGCAAGAACTCCAAGTACCCATGGCTTTTTGTGGTTTTGTGATTTGTTGGTGGTTTTTTTTTTTACTATATTAAAACATTTTTAGTGTTGGAAAACTACTACTACATACATCTAGGTAATTGATTTTCAGCTGAAATAATGGAAGTGTCAGTCATGCTGCAGTTCTCCCTCTCTGCTGGCTTTATGCTGTTTGCAGTGTGTTGATGCTGGGAGATGCAATACATTTGGCAGAAGCAGAATGGTTAGAGAACACCAATTGTTTTCTCTGCTATAAAACTTTTATTTCTCATGTGTTACACAGCCATCATGGCTGTGCTGTTCTCTGTAGTGTGCCTGATTGTGCCAGTGGGAACAGAAAAGTTTATCCTGTCTACAGCCACATGTATACCATGAAAGTCTCCTAACTTGTTTGTGTAAGCTCCCTGAGCTATGGAGTAATATGTTCATCCTACGTGAAAGGAGATGAAGGGTAATTGTGGGCCATGGCTGACTGAGAAGTCCGGTGACCACCACTTTTCATCAAAACAAGGGCTTACCTCCTCAGCAGTCAATAATCACATCCTTGCTTTTGAAATAGATTAAAATATCAGCCGTCTTTTGGGCTAGTTCAAGCTAGGTATTCAGGTTCTTTTATTAGTCAGTCTTCAGAGGCTGCAGTTGAAACACCTGAACAATCTAAACTCTGCCTTGTGTAGAAACACAAAATTATGATGAGTGCACGTCCACCACAGTGGTCCTAGATCAAACCACTTTTTATACTTGTGTTACATCTTTCATTCCTGTACTTTTCCTCCTGCTGTGATTTGGGGTTTGAATTACAATTGTGTTTGTTTCTTTTGGGGTTATTTTCAGTTTAATGAGGACCCTGAATTTTCTTTGTTAAGGTATAATTTGGATAATTACAGCTGGTCTGTTAGGTACTTCATCCTATGATATATGTGCCTGTATGTACACTTAAGGATCACTTCTTCACGTAGGTCTTCACGGGGGAGGGAATTTTCTCTCCTTTTAAGTAAGAAGTGTTGTATGTGACTATTGAATAAACATCCCAATGAGAATGTTGCTGTAGGATGTACTGTTGATGAGTAACTAACTCCATCACATTCCTATTAAATCTCTTTTCTTATAACTTTTACAACCAGATACACCATATCTGGGATGTAAAGAGAGGATGGAGCACGCTAACAGACACCACCAGCCTGCCCCTGTTTTACTTTCCATATTTGCTGCCTCAGCTGATCAACACCTGGCCCAGGCTGGAAGGCTGCTCAGGAGGTCTCAGTCCAACCTTCTGCCATGCACTGCTGGGAAGAGCCCGGCTCTGGCATCCTGCTGACCCCCCATGGGTGCTGTGGGGGCTGCTGTCAGGCTCTGCTGAAGCCACCTCAGGCTGAACCAGGCCTAGTCCCTCAGCCTCTCCTCACAGGACAAGTGCTCCAGCCCCAACCATCTTGGTGGTCCACTGCTAATCTCACTTCTGTTGATGAGAATTCCGTCTTTTTGTGCAAAACCCAACCCATGAATTACCAATGGAGCTTTTTGCAGCGCTTCTGTATTGTCCTATTTTCTTTATTATGTCTCTCCACCTTCACCTTTCTAATTTGTCATATTTGTTACTCAAATTATGTATTTCGAATTGGGAGTTGAATTGTTGCCATGTTCGTTGATTTTGAAGGGCTATGAGGTTTGGAATACTTACAAAGGCTATATGTAGCTAACAGTAATAAAGAACAGCTGTTCATCAACTGATTTTCAGGCACACTTTGGTTGCTTCCTTGATTCCAGTATTTCCCACCACCAAAAAATACCATGCTGTGTACAGACAGTGTCCTGGTTAGTCCTTGCTCCTGGCATGGGGCACGGTCATTATATGGTTGTGTCAGAAAGAAATACACTTTGGGAAATACAACTTTGTAAAAGACTTCAATTGGGATTAGCCATTTAAACCCGTACATAGCTTTTAAAGAGATTTAAACTGAATTTACAGTCTATTACCACCAGATGTCACTGATAACACTAAAGCAAAGCACATTGACCTGTGTGGTTTAAGCCTTCCCTCAAAGGCAGGCTCGCACGCCCACCTTTTGTCCACAGTTTGCACCATGGCCACGGGTGGCTGACGTTGCTGGCATTAATTTCGTATTTGTCATGCGGAGCTTATTCAGTGTAAAGCCCTTCCTAGCATTGTTCCTGCTTATCATGCATTTTGAGTTGTGTAAGATTTTTGACGGAATCTCCCTAGGTTGGATGGAGACAGGCTTGGGGACCGGACTTCCCTAAACGTACAGCCGTGGGAGTGACTGGGAGACCCGTGTCAGGCTTACTGATGCAGCCTGGCAAGGTACCAAAACGCACGCTTTCCATAGCTTCAGGTCAAAATCAAAAACCTGAAAACCAAAATGGTAGCAAAATTCTCTCTTCTGATTTGTTCCAAAATTGTTGTAGCCGGAAACAGAGGATTAGGCTCATCCTATAGAGATCCACCATAGGGCTTGAAGTTGCTGATACAGAAGGGATGCCAACAGCCACCCTCACCTCCTTGCCCAAGGCAGGCGGAGGGGACGGATCCAGCCAGGATGGGCCTGGGGGCTGGCGGGGTGCTGGGAAATGACTAACAGGAAAGCTATCGTCACATCTGCCTCTTCTGCCCTGACAGCCTTGCATGGATATCTCAGCAGGCAACAGAGCAAAGGCTGCTGTTCCTGAAGTTCTTCGGGTTCAGAGCGTTATCTGCCACATGTGCTAACCCAGCAGGCCAGATCCCAGTCTGAGAGTGGGATATCAGAAATGACACCAGAAGAGACAAGTACCGTCTCCTCATCTCATACCCTCAAAAGGCACGTCCAGACTTTTCACTGGACCACTTGTACGTGTGGCTTTGCAGGCAGACCCTGCCTTCCCTCCATCCTGGGCTAGGACATCCAGTGATAATCAGGGCAGCTGTTGATTACAGAGAAAAGCTCCCTTGGTAAGGTGTCAGGTATTCACCTTTCTCTGTTGGTAGCTGAAAATCAGAAGTAATGAGATGTAACCACCAACAAATCCACTCCGTGGTTTGAGGATCAGTAGATGTCAATGTGTTAAACTGAGTGCCTGTACTCAGATGGTTTCAGGTCAAAATTAGGCTAGCACACCATGGACACTGTGAAAATGGAATATTCCTCTGTAAACTCCTCTGGTTTTTAAGTTGCAGTAATTCAACAAACCACACTATATTTTTCATTTATTATTAATTCCTAAAAGTATCCAAATATATGTCATCTGTCTGAAATTAAAATGATCCATGCTCACTACACCTGCCTGTTAGTATTTGAGAACAATTGTTCAGTTTCTTTTGATGACACACAAGACTGGAGTCAAAAGCTGGGATTGAAATTTTGGTTTAGGTATTGAAGTCAATGGGACCAAGATCTCACATTGTTTTTGTTTCCATGATGGTGGAGACTCCTGTCATGACTTTGTATAAATCAGCCTCATTATGGCTAACTTTATCTGGATTAAAATAAATTAAAAGGACATTAAGATGTGGCTTGTGAGAACTGTAAATGTTTTAGCTTCTCTAGTGGAATATTATATGTCAGTTTTAGGCATTACTCCTTACTGGATGTCTTGTCATATCTATAAAAGAGATTTAGCATCACTAAGAGGATTGTCGTGGAGTTTTGTGAAAAGATTCAAGCAACCAAATGCTGACTTGAATATTTGTTTTGGAAGTTGTCCAAGGGGGAAGTGGTGAACTGGAAGATTTTAATTTATGACACTTTTGCTTTGTGCTTTATTAGCTGGAAAATTTAGTTAAATTGTTGTATTCAAATTGTCTGTGACATTATTTTTGTTCTTAAGTTGCTATAAGAAAAATTAATGAATTGTATCCATAGCAACAATTCAGGAATATTGACTTATGAAAGGTCAAGACCAAGTTCAAGAGAAATTTGAAAGTTCATACATCATATCTGATTTTCACATAACATTAAAAGCGCTGTTCAGGAAGTTCCTGTCCTCATTTACCTGCAGTGATGTGATCTATTCACAACTATAGAAAAGAAAGCATGTTTAGTCATAGCTAGAAAGACACACTCCTGATTTCATAACAACATTTTTTAAATGTAGAATGTGAAGAGTTTGATTGTTTATGGTGTAAAATTGTTAAGATACTATAAGGTAAGTCTATGGCGTTTTAGCTAATGCTGCTTGGGATTTCACCCTCCACCTGCTCTAATGCAGGTAGAGGGTACTTATGGAAAGTTATGTGAGAATTGATGTTTAGATATTTTTCCTGCAGCATCATTCATGTGAGAGAGTGCCATTTTTACTTCATTAGAATTTACAAATAGAATGCAAGCCTGTAAATCATATCTATGCTTTTAAGTCTGTGCTTAAGAAAACAAATGTGGCAATAGTACACTGTAAAAATTATCTTACAGTAAATTTGCAGAATGTATTAGAATAGGGGAACCAATTCTTTCAGCCCTGAAGTATGGTGCAATCTGTGTTCTTTTGTTAACAGCTAATGGCTGTGTTTGGTAAAAAACTCATAAACCTGTTCCCATCCTCCCTAAATACAATATTTGTTTAATGATAACAGCGGTATGGGCACCAGGAATGCTTATTTGATGAAAAATATTTCTTTATATGGATAAGGTGTACCCAAGCTTATAAGAAAAAGATTATAATGGCCATCCCAGAGCCACCTTTTGCAAGTGACTCTTTGCTGGTGGAAGGACATTACTGTGTTCCGCAGTCACGTTCCTCTGGCTGAATGGCAATTACATAAGTTCACCTTAATGTAAAAACAGCAACAGGATTTACTTAGACACCTGTCTTGTTTCTATGCCAATAAAAATTGCACTGCACTGACCCAGAGAGTGCATCTTGCTAGTAGACAGATCGGTGGTTGGGCAGGTTCTGCTGCATTTCCTTCCTTTTGCACTAAATCATTTGCACAAAGCAGCATTAGAAACATGCAGCGGGGACAAACTGCCATATGGGGAGGGGGCTGGTTGATACTGAGAGGTAGAAGAGTTATGTACCCAACAGAAACAGAGTTACGGCTGATCCTTGGGTCTGTGCTGTGTAGCGGTGGGAAGTGAACGGCTTGAGGCTGGAGGAAAAGTGAGGTTACTCCACAGTGACCATCCTTCACGCTCCTGTTAGCTGCGTGCCAAAATCCTCATGTGATCAAGGGTGAGGGAAGAGGAGAGAGCTCCAGCGTGAGTTTACCTGCTTTCCATGGGCCCATGCTCTCCATGAGGCTGGGCAGCCGCCTCTGCCAACATACTTCTTCACAGAGCTGGTGCCTGAGTTGCCTGGCAGTGTCTGTGCCTCCACAATCCACTGCTCATCGTGTGAGACCACTCCAGCCTGGGAACTCCACTTGCCCTGTGCAAGGATCTACTGCTGGCCACCCCTGAGCCGTAATCCTCAGTAACTCAATCCTTCCTGATGCATACACTGCTTCAGGAGGGTATCTCACTGATGTGGCAAAGCCAAACCCACATGCATTAGGATTTGCCAGAGCAGCCCACAAGGTCTTTGCACCAGACACTTGACAAGTGCCTATGGAGAGCTTCACGGGTCCCTGCTCCATGTGGTGCCAAGGATGGACTCGCCACAGGAGCCACCTGGGACCACAGCGTTACAGGGGCTTGTTGGGGACAGTGGCAGGTTTGTGGCAGAGGGTTGCAAGCAGAGACAGAGCAGGTCAGCAGTGACACTACTTCTGGGCTTCCCCAAAGATTGTCTCTTCCACTGAGGTTACTGGGTGACCGTGAGTGAAATAGCTGAGAAACATTTTTGTGTTCCAGGCAGGCATAAAAATCTACTAATTTAAAAAATCTTAAGAACATGGTCATTGCAAACAATCAGTTCACTAATACCGGAATTCACAAATGCAGCAAGTATTGCCTTTGTTTAATAAATATTGATTCAGTATACGCTTCGGTAAGTACACTCAGATTGTTTCCAACACACAATTTAAAAATTTTAATTTTCTGAATTTTTGGTTGAATTGCGATTTCACTCCAACAGTAGCTTGACACACCAAATGAAGAGCAAAAATGTCACTCATTAAAATGTAAGAATTACAAATCTAAATTAATGTATTTTCATGTGTATAACTGCCTAAATGACAGGCACTGTCTAGTTCTGGTTAGTGAAAAAGACAGATTCAAGGAAAAAGTTATATATGTGTCTGTAAATCAGCACTATCTGAAGAGATCCTAGTCGATAAAAGACAAGCCTTTCTCTTGGAAAATAAAAAAACCCCATAAATTTACAGTTTTGATTTTCTTCCGTGTTTCCCTCCTTATCCCTGTGTGGCAGATTACCACCTCTGTCCCTTTAGACAATTACGAAAGTTTTCCTGTTCCAAAGACTCTCAGGTACCGCCCCACTCCAAGAAAACATTTCTGCCCTCCAAATGCCATTGAGCCGCAAGATCTCCTATGCATCCCCAGCCACTGATGACTTGGATTCCCACAAAAGTCAGGCTGATGAACTGCTCCACGGGAAGAAACCTACACCCCACGCCTGGGCTGCAGGAGCCACCTGGCCATGCAGAGGGGCGGCACAAGGTGCTGCAGCACCTGTGGGAACGGCCAGGATGAACTGAAGGAAAATGAAGAGGGTACCAAAGTCAGTCTTTGTTCAGGAGCTGAAATTCACAGGAGTCAGGACAGCTTTTCCCTGTTCCTCTGTGGACTTTGTGTGAGCTTTCAGGGAAGAAAGTGTTTTTTTATTGTGTGCAAGCACTCATGCATAGATACAACCAGAATACGCAACCGGCACTCAACAGAAGCTCAAACTGTGCCCAAGGACATTCATGAGAATAGTTCAAAGGAAACATTTGGTTCACCATATGAACACGAGAAGAACCCACACCTCAAACAACTTTTAAGACAGAGGCACCTGGGGACTGGCAGCAAAAGCCCCTGAAAGAAAAATCATGCACTGCCACAGCAGTGTGGGACTTCAGACTGGAAAACCCCTCAACCACAGGGGCACGGTGCCAGTGCCTGCGACCTCTCTCGTCCTATGGGACCTCATACTTGTGACTTCTGGACATCTACTACCAGTTAGAGGTTTATTAAAAGTTACTTGGAAGTACAGAAGGCAGCTACAGGCGTGCAGACAACGTGACATAAACGTATGTTGAGTGTGGGGCAGGTGGAATAACCGTGCCACAGCCCTTTTTGGACCAGAGCCCGATCACTGCTGCTGGTCCCATAGGACTGAGCTTCCTGACCTACCTCATCCCCTCCAGGCCTGTGACCTCCAACTAAAGAATAAATTCAGGTTTATTGTCATTATTTACAATATATGCTAACACACTCCTGGGGAAAAGCATTATACAAAGCATCTGAGTCTGAGGTGCTGTTGCATGTTTAAGGACCTGTTGAAGAACTGCTCATCCGAATGAAAGTGTTACCTCTGAGGAGCTGCTAAAGCCATGGTCTGCATGGTTA